TTTCTAATGGTCTGCAATTTGGATTTTTAGGCTGGTTCTCTGCACTCTATGTTGTCTTGGTAAAGAATCCCTGTTCTAGTTCCAGGCTCTTGGAAGCCAAATGCCATATTATCTGTCAGTCAGTGGTTCCCAAGAGAAGGGAGGGTTTGGGAATCTTTGTCCTTCACACTCTACTAAACAAGTTAATCCACAATTCCACTTATAGTCCCTTCTGATGCTTGAAGATAAGCTCTATGTTCACTCAAAGTCATCTCTTTTTCAGGCTAAACACCCCTTGCATCTTATGTTTCCTTTGGGAGTTTTAAGGAAAACAGAATATGTTGAATTCAACCATAGGTAGTACCCAAGTCGTTATATTTACAAATTGGTTTTTCTGCTTGTCTTTCTAAATTTTGGATGGATGAAAATTCTAATCATTATAAACCCAGTGCATTAATGTTGCTGTCTTCCCATTAAACTTTTTTTTTTTTAGAAAAAGATATGCATGCACATAGGTTAAAGAATCAGGTAGTTCTACAAAGTTACCACAAACATCAGTCTTCCACTTCTTTTCCCTTTCCCTCCTCTCCAGAAGCAACTACAATATTTAGCTAATTATTTAATCATTTTGATATTTACTCAATGTTCCTAAGTAACATGTTTATATACTTCTTGTTAATATTCAGTGTTTATGTGAATATGACTGTGTAACTGATTCAGAGATGAGCCATGTAGTATACTATGAGTTTTTCCTTTACCTGTACAGCTTTTTATTTCCTTCTTATTAGTAACTGTCTCACTTCTTATTTGATTATTTTTCTATGTACTTGTCACTGATTCAATCTTTGTTGACTGTTTAAATTTTCCTCTGAAGACTTTCAGGGATACCAGGCTTCCAGTTCATTTCATTTTGTCAAAGAGGCCTCTCCTGGAACCTCTGACGACTCCCACATTCCCTGGTCGCCCTCTGTACTTATTCCCTCTGTACTTAGTGTAGAGCATCAGCCTGAGAGCTCCCTTCCCCAGGATGGTGAGATTTCCTTTCTTTTCATTTTCTCTCGTGTTGACATCTCTGTTTTCTCCATGCTTTATCTTTCATTTTCTTAGTTTACTCTCTTGTTTTGGTTGACCAGACCCTAATAGCTTCCAGAAAAGAGGTGCATGGGAGAATATATGAAAATGTCCTCATTCTGCTCCAACATTTAAGCAGTAGTTTAGCTGTGGAAACTACTAAAATGTACATCAGTTTTCCTTAGAATTTTGAAGGCATTTTGCCATTGCCTTTTTAAAAAACTTTTAATTTGAGATAATTTTGTTTACAGAAGAGTTAGAAAGATAGTTAAGAGTTCTGTATGCTCTTCACCTGGCTTCCAGTAATGTCAGCATTTTGCATCGCTGGGTACATTTGTCAACACTAACAAATTAGTACTGGTACAATACTGTTAACTAAAGACCTGAGTCATGTTTTACCATAGTTCACTAACATCCTTGTCTGTTCAGATTACTGGGTTATATTTAGCCATTCTGTCTCCTTAATCTCCTCCAGTCTGTGAAAGTTGCCTAATATTTCCTTATTTTTAATGATTTTTGAAGAGTACCGGTCAGTATTTTGTAAAATGTCTTTTCATATGCCTTGTCTGATGTTATCTCATGTTGACTTGGGTTATGGATTTCAGGGAATAGTACCACAGAGGTGGAAGTGTCCTCACTGCGTCATGTGAGGGCTGCGTGATATTGGCACGGCATTACTGGTGATGGCGACTTTGATTGCTTGGTTAGGGTGGTGTCTGCTAGGTTTTTCCACTGTGAAGTTGCTATTTTTCCTTTTCCACTAAGCAAGTCAGTAAGTCCAGCCCACACTTAAAGAGAGAAATTCAGCCTCACCTCCTTGGGGGAGGAATATTAAATAATTAGTGAACATGTTAAAACTACCAAAATAATTAATAAATGTTTAGTGGGGGCAGGGGGGAGATTTTGAGGGTGTGCAAGTGTCCTTTTTCTCCTTAAAGTTTTACCCAATAATGTTAATATTCATCAATGAATCTCATCATTGCTTTTTAACTTCCAGTATTGCTGTCACGAAATCCAAAGCCATTCTAACTTCTGATCCTTAAATTAGACTTTTCCTTTCAGGAAAGTTGTAGAATGTCTTCTTGTGTTTTGAAATTTTATAAAAATGAACTTTGGGAAGAGACTATTTGTGTTCATTGTGCTGGACTCTCAGTGGGTCTTTTCTATCTGAAACTGAAGTTCTTCAGTTTGGAGAAATTAAAAAAAATGATTTTCTTGGATGTTCCTTTCCTCTCTCTTTTCTGGAACTCTTAATATTTGTACATTGGATCTGCAGGACTGGTCTTCCAATGTTAGAGAACCAGTCCAGGAGGTTCAATATTCAAATGCTTTTTCTGTTTCTTTATCTTTTTTTTCTATTTTATGGAATATTTTTCAGCTCTCTCTTTCAACGCTTCTATTGACTGTTTCATTTCTGCTATTATATCTCTAATATTTAGGATCTCATTTTATGTGTGTATATGTTCTCTGATTTTTTTTTTCCTGGTGTCTGAATCTTTCTTTTTTTCTCCCATTGATCTTCTTTTCTTTTGAAGTTCTCTAAAAATTTCTTTTCTTTGCCTCGTGTCTATTTTTCGTGTTGGAAACTTTTCTCGGACGTTTTGTAATCTTGGTAACCTGCTCATATTAGGGTGGTTTGATTGGAGTCCTGAGTATGAGTGAGTTTCATTGTAGAGTGATCTGGCGAGGTTGTTTCCTTAGGGGGTATCTTACTTATGTCCCCCAGACCCATGGCATTCTTCAGAGAAGGGCCCTTCATTTTCCTGCCTGGATTGCAGCCGTGGCTGCCCTCATTGTGGGAGTGGACTGCAGGCAGAGCGCACGAGAGTCCCGCTGTCCAGCATCCACGTGCTCACTGCGTCTTTCTGTGTTTGGCACCACGCCCCTGCCCTCCACTTTGCCTCGTTTCTCCAGGTCACAGAACTTGTGTTTTACTTCACCAGAGAACAAACCTCTAGTCTATTGTCAGGTAAGGGAGAGGCCAGTGGCTGGGCATGACGAGTAGATGAAGAGATCTGGGTATCTGAATGCTCCTTAAACAGAATTCCTATTCATTCTTCTACATTTATTGCCCCCTCTCTCACTTCCAGGGGTGTCTGGTACCTCTTAGTCTTGGGGTATCGACAATTTAAAATAGACTGCTTTTCAGCTCACCCTGCTGCTGCCTTTCAACCCAGGTTTTTAAGAACATGTTAAATGATTTACTACTTTTCCACTTGCTTTCCAGTCTCCAGCGTTTTATCATTCCTTTTCTGTCCTCCTCCATTCTCCCAATTCTTACAGGTTAGTACCTTTTGAGAACAGCCCTTTTACTCTCGTTGTACTGGTGTTCAAGAGAGAATAAAATGAGATGTGTGTGTTCAGTCTGCCATTCTGGATTTTGTCTGTCTGTCTTCCTCTCTCTCTCTCTCTCTCTCTCTCTCACACTCTCTGTAAAATAAAGTCACACATCACTTTTATTTATGCCTGTCTGAGTATAACCAGTACTTAGCACAACATCTGGTACAGAGTGGTGTTCAGAAATTTCTTGTTAAATGAATGTATAAATGAAAGAATGAAACAATGGGAATTTGGGGATTTTGTGTTAGTCTGAGAAATTTGAAAGGTATAGGTTAGTTTTATTAAAAGCATTATTTGCTCATAATTATTACCTAAATCATTACAAAAATTATACAGAGATGACAGAAACTATGGCAGAAACTGCTGTCTTGAGGGATCTGATATACATTTCAAAGAATTGAATACTTTTGAAATTCTTAAAATTTTATTTACATACCTACTCCAAAAAAGGAATGAAACAAGCACTAACACAATGAGCAAATGAAGAAGATTTTTACAATAAATATCAGAATCCATTTCTCTGCCAACTTGTGGTAATGAATAAGACCTATATTTAAAATATGGTCTCTCTTTCTCTCTCTCTCCCTCCCTCCCTCCCTCCCTCCCTTCCTCCCTTCCTCCCTCCCTTCCTTCCTTTCTCCCTTCCTTCCTTCCTTTCTCCCCTCCTTCCTTCCTTCGTCTCTTAGAAAATTATTGGAGGGCCAAATCCTGAACTTGTAAGGCATTGGAAGGACTTGGACTTTAGAAGAGAGAAGAGCTGCTTAGTGTAGCCTGCAGTGGATCAGGCATGGAATTAGGGGGACTAGTTAGGAGGCTGTGGAAATAAACCACGACAGAGCATGGACCAAGTTCGTTGAAGCAGAGGTCCATATGAAAGCATTTTAACACTGTGCAAATGTCGGGTATTATTGTTTTGCAGAAACATTTCAGTGTAGGGGACAGTGGAGTGCAGTGGAAATACATTAAAAACAAGAGACTAGATGTATGTGTGACAACATAGTTGTAAAAATAATGCTTGGTGAAAAAGTAGCAAACAGAATGAGATATATAACAACATATAAGTAAACTCTAAATACATGCTAAGAAGATGAGAACACATTTTGTGAAAAGACATTTGAATACAAAGAAATGTATTAAGCACATTAAAATATCTGCCTATGGGGAGAAGGATAGTGACAGTAGGATATGGGGGGTGGGAAAGGGAGAAACAGATAAACAGATAACAAAAAAGAGGGGAAAGCTTTAGTATCTGGAGGTAACTGAGTTAATTTTAGGTACATCTTTTGGGACAATTTACATAACTTTTTGTGCCTTAGTTTCCACCTTTGTAAAGTGAGGTAGTAGTACCCATTTAATATGCTTACCATAAGAATTAAATGAGACAATCATGCCAAGTGCCCTGCAGAGTATCTAGTGCACAGAATATTCTCAATTAATGTGAGATACTTTCTTTCCCTTTTAAATATTTAACAGTGTAACGAGACTCTATGGGGTGGAGGTATTTGATTTAGGGAAGTCATTGCTGCATTCTGTTATTGTGAGATGGGAACACGGGAATTGTACTTTCTTACCATGTGTTTTTAATTTATTCCTCCCTTCTCTTAATGCAGGGCTTACCACCCAAAGCATGGAAGGCAGAAGACACCCACCTGAGTTGCCCGGAGCCTACGGTGTTTGCTTTCTCACCTTGGGCTCCGCGTCGGAGCTCTATGCGAGAGATGTGGATACCAAGCTTTGAACAATCTAAGAAAGAAGCCCAGGCACTAAGGTGGCTGGTTGATAGGAATCAAAATTTTTCAGTTCAAGAGTTTTGGGCCTTAGTATTCAAGGACTCATTTCAGAAAGCATCAGAATGACACAGACTAGAGGCTTCTTGAGGTTTATATTATGGTTTGCCTTAATATCTGAATGTAATAGCTATTCTGTTGACTATCCTTTAGGATAAGAATTCATTGCTACAGTTCTCATAATGAGCCCTATCAATGAATAGATATGAATTACCCTTAGGGGTTGTCTCTATATTTTTTTATACTAAAAAAAATATTTCTTATGGACACTGTTCATCTTCAGTTTACATGTCTGGACCCATGCACCTGCTGCCTTTTGTGGAAATTCTCCTAAGTCAAGAGTGGTGTTCTGCTCATGGACGTCTGATACTCACCTCACCATCAGCAGTTTATTGGTATTTGGCAAGCCCAGTGTCCTGATGCTGAGCATGAACATGAAATGCATTAGAACTTGGCAATGACAGATTCCATCTGTTGGTTTCCAGGGATGTGAGTGATAATAAAAGCTATGTCAAGTTTTTCCATGATCTGCTCTTCAAGTCAATAGACTATACACACATCTACCTTCTTCACCATACCCTCAGACACCTCTCTAACTTCTTTTATTTACACCCTGCCCTGTGGCCTCCCCGCATCTCCCCATGAAATAGAATGTCTTATAAAGACATGACGACTTCTGTGTTTTGATCAGTAAGATGTTACCAATGGTCCCTTAAACTGCTGAGCAGAGTAAGAACAGGAATTGTAAGATGCGGGCTGGACAGGCGGTAGGCTTTGATTGATGGAAGAGTAGAAGTGAAAGCCCCCTGGGCACTGCAGTTGTGCTGAAACTGATTTGTCTTTTCTTAGGATGAGGCACAGCCAGTCGTGGTGGGCAGCCACAGCCTTTGGTGTGTGAGCATTTCCTGTTATTTCTTTCTTTTTTTTTTTTTTTAATTTGAGGAGTGTTTATTTATTTTTTATTTTTATTTTTCGTTAAATTTTTATTTTGTCAATATACAATGTATATGATTATTATGGTCCATCGCCGACACCTCCCTCCCTCCTC